AACAGACTTCCAGGTCCTACCACGAGGGTGTCCGCTGCAGGCAGTGAAGCCAAAACTCGTGGTTCTGTTAATGCCAACAATCGGCGCAGCCAGAGCTTTAACAACTATGACAAATCCAAGCCTGTAAACCCACCACCACCATCATCCAGCAGCAATGAAAAAGGTAGGCTAAAATCTTTATATTTCCTCAGATCTACTTTACTATGCTTTTGTCCAGGAGGAGTACATTTTTTTTGAGGCTCCAGGAACTTGAAAACATCTCCCTTTGATAAGTGATGTTATAGGTATAGGTTCAGAGTCTAGGGCTCTGGCAGAGTTGGTATTCAGACCTTTCTCTACTCATATTTCGACAGAAGTTAGTAACAGTTCCCCCAGATGAAGGTTTAATGACAACTGTGCCTCTGAAGTTGTTCCTGCTGAAGTTAACTGGTCTTTTGCCTTTGACTCTGTTGAAGTAAGATACAAGTCTTCTGGATTCAGTCGATAGGTATTCAGTGAACAAGAGGTGATATTAGGAATACAGGCTATCTTTAGTAGGGAAAATGTTTGAATGGATAAGTGGCAATCCCATGAGTATGCCAGCAATCTGGTGACAAAGTGGTTAGAATATAAGACTAGGTTCCAAGAAATAGGAGGTCCCTTTGCACATATTCATTTGAGATGTTTTCTCCTAAAATTATGCTTATTTAAAAATTTTTAAAAGATCAGTTCTACTAATAGAAATGGACCATACGGTGGTACATGTTTGAAATCTGTGTCAGGATTTGATGTAAAACCAGTTGAAGTCAATGGGAATTTTTTAAACTGATTTTTGTGTCCTAAATCATTCTTGTGATGCACCATTTAAGCAAAAGAGCGCCCTTCAGTGATGCCGAGTTTCTAGAATCCTTTGTCATTTTTCAACGCCTTTAAAAATAATTCTACCCCCCATGTCTTTGTTTGTGTTGTTAACAAAGGAGTTACAATACCCAACTGAGACTTCTTACTTGATATCCCATATATTACCGTTTGAGTTTAGCCCTGTTGGTATATATGGGATAGAAAAACAAGAGACTTGGAAGCCAACCTTAAGGGGACCTTGTAAGTGATGTTAGGCTAAAGCTTGAAACTGAATAGATTAATAGGTGGTATGCTTTTTGATTCAAATGGTACAGCATAAAGTTCAGTAGAACTATGGCACAGTCCTGATGGACTATGGGACATTAAAAAAAGACACAGGTACTACCTCCAACTATATGAACTTTTGCTTTATAGATCAATATCTGAGTACAGGTAAGAAAAAAAATGTTCCCTCAATTCTTTTAAGAAAGATTTCCCCCCCACTTGCTGTAACTCTGTTCTTCCTGCCGGCATTTACTGATATTTCTACTAGGTGTCTTCTGTATATTGGTCTCACCACATTGACTACTGCAGCCCTTCACAAAGGAGGGAGCAGAAGCCCAAGTAAAGATGGTTTAGCTATGCAACTTTCAATTCCATTTTCTGCCCCTCAAGTAACTCTTTCCCTATAAAACAAGTTAGAGGTTGCTATACATAAGCTGTTTGGTTTCTGTGGCTATACTACTTTAGCTGCATTCAGTGGAACAGATTTCTTAACATAGTCGTTTGTTTAGTTACAGCAAACCTACATTTTCTGTTACTAATTATGTCTTTATAAAACACTGAATACTATCAGTAGTACTATCACTGCTATCAGGAAGACATCTCACTGTCACGAACAGTGCCAAACTGCCTTCCAATATACTCCTTGGTCAGTATACACTTATTGGAGCAAGATAGCAAGTTAATCAGATTGGAACTCAGGGCTCATCTTTAATGATTCTGCTCTCACTTATATGACAAAGTAACTGAAAGCAGAATTAAGCTATGGTTTCTGGGCATTTTTAGACATGCACATGCCTCAGCAGTAGGTGGTTTGCAAAGCACCCGGTGCTGCGTCGCTTGCAGTTGTATAAGTGGCAAAATGCGTGTCAGTGCTGAGAAAATGGCGGCAATGCGCTTTTAAACTAAAACACATAAAAGTGATTTTAGTTTAAAAGCACGCCACTGCCACTTTCTGCACACTGACGTGAATTTCACCGCTTATACAACTCCACGTGGTGCAGCGCAGTTCTTATCAGCTTGCGTTAATCAGATTAATTGAGTTTGCTCTGAAACTGCAGATCTCTGGTGCATCATGGGACAAAAAGGTATGTGTATAAATGCCCTCTGTCCCTAGCTATGTCAGTGACTCCTTCTGTGTACTTTGGGCAAATCAGTTGCAAGATACATTTTCGAAATAACTGCTGATTTGAGGTGCTCTAATTTTGGGGCACATTTGTATCTTTGACCCAATTAAGGAAAAGCCCCTGTTTGGCAGTCTTGGGGGTGATTCTTTTTGTGTGGAAAAAAAGC